GATATATGAAAATGTTTGGAAAGATTTAGAAGATAAAATAGATCCACAACAAGTTAATATTTCTCTATTTGAACAATCAATAGAAAGGAAAATATGCGAAAATTAAATTTAATGATAATGGTCATGAAACAAAAAATCTTAAAACATTTTTAATAGAATTAAAAGATAATATTAGTCAACAAAATCAATATTTTTATCAACACAGATTTACCATTTACTACTAAAGAAGAAGAAGGAAATAATATTCGAATTTATCAAAAAGAAAAAAATATTTTAAAGTCTGGTGGACTTGCTAAATATAAATATGGAGATATTAAAAGAAATATTGAAAGAATTTTAAATAAAATTTTAAAAAATACTCAATTTGAAAATGATAAAGAATTAATTTTGTCGAAAATTTTGTCTTTACAAGGAGATATTCGTTCATTTAAAACAGGTTTAAAAGCTAATTTAAAAGATTTTATAGATCTTCAAGATCAAGAAAATGTTTCAAGTGAATTAAGATTTTTTTGAAGGTTTTAATCTTAATAAATTTTTGATTATTGAAGAAGATAAATCTTGGTGGGATTGGAATGCTTTTGCCGTTGCAATGATAGGACTTGTTCAAGTCATTGCCGAAGCTGTTTTAGTAGCCTTTGGTTTGACTCAGATAGGCAATGCTTTAATATCAGGTATTTTTAGTTGGAAAGAATGGGCAATACAAAAAGCAATTAGCTTCGGTCTCTCTATGTTGACTGCTGGAATTGGAAAGTTTTTGACGGATAAAATTATGGAACAGATTCAAGAAAATGTTATACAAAAGATTGTTAGTAAAATAGAAGAAAATTTATTAAAGGAAATAATCGGTTTAATAAATAATAAAGTAGAAACTCTTTATCTTCAAAGTAAAAATGAAGAAGTGTTCGAAAAATCTTTTGAAAAATTGAAAAAACATATTAGAAAAAACACTAGGAAAAGATATTTTATTACCTCAACAATGTGATAATATTCGAACACGAGTTGTATCTTCTTTAAGAAATAGTTATCATCTATTTGCTGATGGTCTAAAGAAATCAAATTCAAAATACGTTAAAATAGCGGCTACTACTCTTAAAGCAATAGATATCATTAATAAGTTGTGGACTGTAGTTCAATCTGTCTTACAGTTTGAACATGTCCTTAATACTTTAAAAGATATTATTGAAGGTACTACCAAAGAAAATCAGAATATTTATAGAAAAAACATTAATAAGAACCTTGTCGAAACAACAGCAGAACAATTGAATAGTATCATTAGAGAATATATATATATCAACTAAATTAACAAAATAATTAGATAAAGTAGTAAGACAAGCTATTAATGGAACATTAAAACAGATTGGAAAAACCATTGTACAAGGAATAAAGACAATGGTTGATTCACAATTTAATGGAAAAAATCCAGCTAATATATTGAAACAATCGAATCAAAATAGACAAAATCATGCAGAAAGTCAAATTGCTAATAAATCAAGATTCAAAGAAAGAATAACAAGATCGAGTGAAAAGAGAAGATCTACAAAATAATATTAGAAATCCAAAACAAATTACTGCAAGTTATTTGAGATAAGCAAAAGATAAAGATAGAGCTTTAGGTTTAGCTGATATCAAAATGTTAGCAGATCGTAAAAGAAGAAAAATAACTGTTCACAACTCAGATACTGACGAAAAAGAAATAGTAAATCCTTCAGAAGTAAGAAAAATACTTGCTCTTCTTAAACAATCTGCTAAAATATATTATGAAGCAGATGAAAATGGAGATATTGAACATTATTTTACTGGTAGAGGAACAGAAACATATATACAGATCAGTGGACGGATAGATTGTTTGCTAATAGCTTATCATGAATCATTAGGTAGAAAAGTAAATGAAAATATTATAGGACAAGAACGAGTATCACTACGCCGTTAGACTGCTAAACATTCAGAAAAATATGTTAGAGACGTAGATGGGAGATTGATTTGAATAGACGTAATCAGATGATAGGTGGTATAGCAAAGAAAAACCTTTACATCTTCAATCCTATCACTGTAATGCAGGATGGTTCTAGAAAAAGAAATAAAATATAAATTAATACCTGAAACTATGAAAAAATTAAGGAATGAAAATGATAAACTAGTGGTAATTACGTCTCAGCCATTTAAGGCGGGTACAATAAAGCAAACAGATAATGTACGCTTAGATGATCAGAATTTTACTGGAAATAGTGACTATGTTAATTTTCAAGTACAAATAGGTGGACCCAGATATAAACATCAACGTAGGGGTAATGAATCTACAACTGTCGCACATATTTTAGTAACAAGACCACCAAAAGATTCTAATGCTGTTTATCATTATAGCTCAAGAAAAATTGCTAAGACCCTTCTTGATAGTTTAAATAATGGCAAAACAGTAAAATTACTTGCAGAAAATCTTTAATAGGCATTTCAAATTAATCACCTTTAAGTTTTGGTTAAAATTTATATCTGAACAGTATTAAGATCTTTTCCATCGATATAATGCTCCTATTATTGTTTAAATAAATCTCATTATTAGTAGCATATTCCCTTTCTCCTTATGTATTTTCAGCAATCAATGTGTTGCCTTCTTCAGATTTTATTGGTCGAATGAAATGTACTAGAATATATACACATTCACCTTTCTGTTTTTATACAATTTGACAGTAGATCAGTACAACAGTAATAACTTGCAGGAGTGACTTTTCTCTTGTTATTTTCTTTGAGTGATGACATGATCTCGGAAATACTAGCCAGAAAAGTCTATACATCCTCAATCATCAAAGACTGTGGGTGCTCAGTTTGACTGAAAGCTTCAGTTCTTTTTCTATCATCTTGCTTCCATAATACATCAGAAAAAAATGTTTTTTTTTTACCACTTACAGTGTTTGCATAATGCTAATGAACGCTATCTCATGTGAAATCAAAATCTTCAAAAAAATCTGTTTGTAAGTAGAAAAATATTTTTTCAAGACTTTGATTTTTTTCATTTTACATAAGATAGAGACTCCTTAGACTAGCCTGTTCATTAGAATTAGGTGAACACTACAAGTGGTAAAAAAAATCATATTGTGGAAGCAAGACGATAGAAAAAGAATTGGGGCTTCCGGTCAGACTCAGCACCTCCGTATAATTCCAACTTTGCCTATAGACTTTTATGTATTCTGTTATAATCAAAATAATTGATAAAGACTTGACAGAAAAATATTTTATTACACTTCTAAGTATTATATCATTTCTAAAAAGTTTTGTTTGTCACAATTTACTGCAAAAACATTCATATGTTTGTGTGTACAAAGTTTCATCAAACTAATAAAGAAATGTAAGTTTAAAGCTAAAAAATTTTACTAATATCCATTCTCTGTTTAAAAACGCCTATTAATTGAAGTATCTCAATTATTTTCACTTATTTATTGCGTTTTTTTGTACAACAAGTTGTCCGTTATGTTTTATTATTCATCTTTCATTATTGTACTGTTTCCTATTCTATAAAAATTTTCTGTATATTGTGCCAACATATTTATAGTATATAGTAATATGTTGAAATTGAGTGTTCCTTCTCGTTTCTGTATTACCCACACTTTTGATCTTGTTGATGATTTTTAGCAAATGACGGCTAGTCTCTCTCCCATACTGCTGTCTAGTTATTTTGGTACTAATAAGACAAAAAAATATGAGCAAAAGAAGATCGAACTGAAGCATTTTAATTGGTCTTGTTAGCATCGTATACTTCATGCCTCACTATAACATGGATGACATAAACTGATCTGATAACCATTTTGTCTGACGGTACACTCAAAATTAACCGAAATTAATATCCAAAATAATCAGTAATACCTTGATCAGAATATCTTGATTGTGAACATTTGCAGAACATTTCAAGATGAAAATGTGTCCCTACATTGCCATTAATAGTCAAAGACTAAACTTTATCTTCGATACAACAACAAAAATTTTTCGGATCGAGTATGTGTAACGAAACCTCTCAACACTTTGAAATTTTTTGTTCAGAAAGCAAGCTTTGATTCGTTCTATCATCACTATAGTGGATTTCCTCATGAAAGTAAAACAATTGAAATCAAGTGAATATGCGATAACTTACGAAAATTAGCAAATCTTGATACTATCAAAATCAAATTTTTCATAAAACCAGTATCAAGCTAATCCAT